AGGTGGCAGCACAATTCAAAAGGAAATCCTGGAGAATAGTGGAGCACTGGAAGTGTAAATTAAAATTTGTTGATAGAGTACAGAACTCAAAGGAGGGTAGATACAGATAACTATACAGAAGCCCATTGACAAACTCCTTGGTTTAAGAGTGGTTAGGTACAGTATATTTGAATTTAGTTTATGTAAAATGTGAAACGAACCATCCATCACAATCCTTCTTCGAGAAAAGCTGTCAGTAATCTTAGTGTGGGATATTTTTTCAACATTATGTTTTGCAACAACATGGTTCACAACTTATCAAAAAGATATCACTGGTTGACTGGGCTTTCACTTCCGCTAGCCAACCATGGATACACTGCTCTAGAGAAACTTTAAACAGGTTTTCCCTGACACACAATCTGAGTGACCTTTTCTACAAACAACTGGGAATGCAATGGAGACTGATGCATATTAAAGAATCTGTATCTGGAGAATACTTTAGCAGTTATACATAGCCTTACTTTTGAGTTTACATATTTACAACGTTGATTTTGCTCCTATCGAGCTGAATAACAGTTCTTTTATTTTGACAAGCTGTAAACTCGGATCTGAAGATTGTGTTGATTGTCTAACATATCCATGAATAAAGGCAACTCGTGCTTTCCCTTATTTTTTCCAAGAAGTAGTCGATTAGTCATTTTTAGTGATCTACTTGGTAAAAAATTGGAAGAGTCTGTGTTCTGAAGTGATTGAATTTAACTTTATGACATAGTTTGCATCTTTAAATACATTTGTTCATCTTTAGCTGATTCATTTGTCCACTAGGGTCAGCACACAGTTGCTCATTAATACAGTCAGCAGTCATGGACTATTTAATTTGTGTCTGTCCCTTGTGAATCAAATATTCACTGTTGGCACTGTTTTTGTCTCAACTATCTACTCTGCTCACCTGCTAGTCACTAACTGTGTTTTGTCGCAGTTTGGAGCAAGACACATGGCTGAAGAAGAATCAAAACAGTAAGCCGAAAGACACTAAACATCAGCTGCTTTCAGATTTGCAATGAACTCCACATATTCTCTGCACTTTCTCCAGAGGAAGTGCATTTGTAAACGCAAATATCCAAGTGAGAGCCTCTGGATTACTTTCTCTGCCTGGCCTCCTACAACAGAGTCTGTAGAAAGCCGTGAGAATCCGATGTGAGATCGCTCACTGAATTCACCACGAGCCAGTGCAGGGTTGATGATGCTTCTTTCCTGAGAATTTGTTGCTGTTGTGAATGCACCTGTGCAGAAAACCTTGCAGTGTCCATGTGTGAAAAGCAAAAGTCGGGTCAGAGTTTATCCGTAGGTCATGTCTGAAAACGGTTATACTGTACAAGTTTTTACAACTTCATAGCTTATCGCTTTGTAAGGTGAAAACTGTATAACTAAATACACTTAAAGTTAAACTTTTCAAAGCTCTGTTTTTAAATATGATGTTTAGAAACTCATGTTACACCAGATATATTAAAGCATTATTAAAGGCCTTTGTCTGAATAGACTTCTGCTCAGGTTGTAAGTGGGTGGGGCCAGGCTGTGGAAGTACATAAGGTCAAGCAATGAAAATAATAAATGTGCCCACCATCTCCCATCCAAGCAGGTGCAGCAAACCAAAGGTGGGGGCTTGATGTCAAGCTGGTCCTCATAGTCCTGAAAAGGAGTTGTATACAGCAAAATAAATACAAATCCTGTTTTTTCTAGATGAATGTGTAATAATATGCTGCAGGTGGAGAATGTTTTACAACAAAATACAATACAGAACAAGCTGAAAGTCAAATAAATACTTAACTTAGTTCATAATGAACTTTGGCAGATATGTCTGAAAGAAAAATGGTCTTGTTACGTCTCTGCTGTGGTTTCATGCTCAGGTAAGAACAGATGAGTGGTAATAGTGTATTGTCTTGCTCTTGAAATTAACAGCCACAGAGTCAGTGTTGGAAATCTGACTTAATCAGATTAATAACAGTCATACAGATGGTTTTACAGAAGCAGCCAGCCAAGTATGTAATTACTGACTGCGGACGGGCGAAAGTGAGAACACACAGAGGGACTGTGGTTGAACACAATCACATCTTCATTCCCAAGGTTCGAGTTTTTAGGTCTCTTCAATGACTTACACTTTTGTATATATCATTTAATGAAATGGATTCATCACTAATGTTGTGTACATCTGTAGCCTTATTTTTCTGCTATCTAAAAATGTCACCCATTGAAATTACCCATTATCCAGCAAAACCACTGACGAAGGGAGGATTTGGGGGTAAAATAGGCATAAAAGATCCCCACCACTCATATATTGACAAAATCGAATATCCAAAAAAATATATATTTAGAAATGCAATGATAGAATGCTGTGTACTAATTTTCCATTCATTGATTGTATCATCACAAGCCAATCTCGATATTCCCCAACAAGAAGCTTTCACAAGACCACATCTGACAGGGACAACGTTACACATTTGTGTAAGATCACTGATGAGTTTGATACAGGACAGGAATTACAGACTCTGCAAGCTATGTAGCTAATACCAGGTGGGAATAGAATCATCATCATCACTACCACCTGACATCAGACCCTTTGACAATGGAAAGCAGGTCAAGCCATTGTTTTTAGAGTTCGTATTCAGCCAAATTCCTCATAATAACATCTGGACAATGAGCATCAAAATGGCTTCTCAAGGTACAGATGGAATACCCTCTATACCCTCAGGGTACAGAGTTTTTACCTAAACTCAATCCAGCTATTTGCTGAAGACCAGACTAAAGGAAGAGAGACCACAAAATCCCCTGCAGTGAGGCTCTGGGAGAGCACGGACTGTATAAGATACACCGCAAAATATTATGTATCATGATTTTGTTTGATGTCATATGCATCTGTCCAATGACTTGTGAACTTTTAAACTTTGGCTGTGTGTTAAAAGAGCTTTATCTCCTTCACAGTTATATCTATAATAAGTTAACATATGTATATTGCAACCAAGACTTGGAACTTTCATGTGCCGTCAATGATTTTATTGAAATAAATCTCTTGAAGCTTATAGCCTGAAACTTTTCCGAGAACAACAACATAAACGTGAAAACCTACCAGCTCTGCAGTGGTATGAACTGGTGCCAGTAAACAGCCTCCCAATGAGTCTGAACTCTTCCTGGCAAACGCTCTTCTCCCACACATACAGCTTTTTATACATTTCTAGTATACTGGCTATTGTACATACAGCTGGTTATTGCAATGAAAGCATCACAATGTTCCTACTGTCCAGACAAAGTCCCTTTCTGACATATGAGTTACTGCGTCATTACTTTTAGCAAAGTAGGTGGTGACGCATGTTTTCCCCAGAGGCTTCCTGTACCAACTCAGATGTTCACACACACTGGGTCTGATGAAAACATTCAGTACTTTTCAAGAGACATTGTCATTTCTGGGCTGAGTGGTATTCTGCCCTTGAATCAGTTAGCAACCTGTATCTGTATCAACTGTTGATGCTGTGTTAAAAAGAAAATCCTTACAACATTCCTGACTTATTGCGCTGTCATTCATTCACTCACAGTCAAGTGTTAAATTCACACCCACATATTTTACATTTATCAAATTCATGCCAGTGGCAAGCAGCCTCTGGCCTGCACAGGCCTTACAGACAAAGCTGAGGGCCAGTGGTCCCTGGCTTCCCCCCAGGGCTGCCAGTGGGCAAAAATGGCTGTATAAATTATAGTTCATTATATTATCATACATTGGCTAGTGTGTGTGTGTATGTGTGTGTGGACTTGGACTAAAGCAGTTTACACAGTGACAATGTAGGGACTTTTTTGGACATAAATGAGTTACCATAATGTAAATCATTAATGTTTTGAGAGAAGAATTCATTTAAAGTTAGGATGAGGGTTAGTCTTAGTCCCTAGGAAATAAATGTAAGTCTGTGTAACATCCCCTGAGGTAAAACACGACTTTGTGTGTGTGTGTGTGTGTGTGAAATCTGTTTCCTTTTCACCAGAGTTATGTGAAATCACTTTGAGCCAATGCATGAGTTGTCATCAAGATAATTATAAAAAAAACATCATCACACAAACTGCAGAAAACCTATCCCTTCAGTCCATGTGTCACAGTGTGCAGTGTTTTTGTTTTGGCCCTGTCCCTTTAAAGAAATAGACAGAGACCGACGACATAATGGACTGAGATAGATGAGGGAAGAGGGAGATCATTAGTCCATCCCAAAATTATACACAGTCTTCACTCTCAACTAAAGAGCTCCACATGGTGTTGTTTACACTGTGAAACTCCTTATTTAGTAAATGACAGCTCCACAGACACCAGGCAACAACACTCACTGCTAGAAACTGCACATTATCACAACAGTCAACCAGAGCTGTAAATAACTGTTAAGAACTGACTAACACTGCGTATTCCCCATGTTGGCAGTCAAAGAAACCAAATCCCTCTAAGGATATTGCCTATTATGTTATTTTTATGAACACAGCAACAACAGCACCAGGGAGAGGCCTGATTTTTTGACTAAGACCCCAACAGGGACTCCAAAGGTCTGTTTGAGGTGTCGACCATTGCTATGGTAACTCATCGTTTCAAGCCAAACTTCTTCGGCTTGTCTCCCAGAGCGATGGCGAAAACTGATAGTGTCTTATCTTACGTATCGATCAGGAGCACCTGCCTGGCCAGACTAAATCAATAACTGCTGTAATTCCATTGCTCTGGCCTTGGACAAAAAGTTAAAGTGCCCTGCATGTCGGTGCAAGTCCAGTCTCCTGCGAGGAGCTTATCATCAGCGATAGGGACAAGCCTTAATAGCTGACCTATTAAAACATGGCTCTTTCAATGCATCCATCACTGAGGCTGATCCTTAAATGTGCAGCCATCACAACATTCATTTCACAAGATAAATGAATGATTTATTAAAGAAATATTCAGTATTGAAATATCTTTTTATTATACTTAAACATTACAAAACAGACGCTTCACTCTACTTCCTTGTTACCACATCCCCAAGACAATTTAAGCTGTAGTTCAGATTTGGCATCAAACAATTACAATGCACAATAAGTATTTTATTTTCCACAAACAACGCAATGGAAAAATGGTTACCGAGGAAACATTATCAAAACACTGATAGAGTGGCACACACATTCTGATCAGCACTTCTCTCTTTCATGTCCTAAAATGAGTCACATGCATCCAAAGGACAAATGTGTCACATGACCGCTGCGCTAACTCATGCGCTAATGTATGCTCTTACAATTTGTTGTGTCTGGGGCTTTAACGGTGGCTACTGGGTCACTCCGCTGGGTATTGTACATCATAGGAGATGATAGAGGAATGTGGTCCAGAAAGCACACAGACACACACCCGACAGTGTCACGGCCAAATCACTGGTCTGTCGGAGCCACTGCTCGCCATTCAGCACGGTAAGCCATGGATTCCCTGCCACTCTATAGGTTCCTCCCATGATGCCATCTTGCTCCCTATTCAAGTTGACACCATCTTGGCTGACTGGTGCAGTCCTTGCCCTCAGTTCGCCTGGACGCAGACCGGAAACCCTTTGTCCTGTGTTGATTTGCAGATTTGGAGGATGAAGAGGTGAGGATGCTTTTTGTGTCAAACCTGATTATATAGATTTTCTTTTGCTGTGCAAGCCACAGCAAGAGGCAGGAAAACAATATGTGGGAAAATTACACCATCTTGTGGTAAATAAGTGTACATGGGTCATCACTTACCAAAACAGCTTTGAAGTGGTATAAAGACAAGAAGGATGCAGACAGAAAGAAGAGATGCATATGCCTATAGGGAAATAAGAATAATGATTTAAATAAGTTATCACATTTTCTTCCTTAAAATAGCATCTGTAGTGGCTTTAATGTCTTATTCATGATGAGTAAGACACATACATATTTCAATAACTAAAACGTAGATCGAATTATCAACGGAGGATAATATATATCGTAGGAGTGCCGCTTACTGTGCTTTGAACATCTCTTTTACTACAAACAGTAAAAGTTAATTTCCTTGTGCTTACCAAGAGGAGCTGTGCACCGTTCTGAGTCATTCTCCTTAAGGCTTTTCCCATCTGGTCTCCGAGCAGAGCTAAAGAACAGGGTGTTACTGCATCTTCATGCTCACTCTCCACACATCTTAGGAGAAGCAGTAAAAACTGTGTTACATACAATCACAGTGATGTCAGCCCTCCATATTCTTGCTGACATAACATCACTGAAAGGATTATATCAATAAGTGCAAGTGCAGCATAGATGTATTGAGAAAAAAAAAAGTTAACATTATCTAGAACTGGATTTTCCCAAAGACATTTTAGTAATATCCACTTTATTGCCAAGTGTTAGACTGAATATTGATCTACTTACATACTCCATGTATAGACAATAATAATAAACAGTAGGCCTCTGCAAATTGTAAATTCTTTATATGCCTCCCAAAGTTTTCCATTTTCCTGCATTCCATTTTATCTTTCTCCTCACTAAATTTAACTATGTATTAAAGTAACCAGATACACCTCTAATTTGTATGCAGCGGGTTGTGTTTATTAAGGCAGGTTCTGGTTCTTTCATGTTTCCACTTAACTTTCTGCTCGGAATTGAACAGTGTGCAAAACAGAAAGAGAACGGAGCCTTAGATACTCAGTTTAAGTTGCTTGTCGTGTTACATTGTTGTAATGAGATGTCTATAGACTACTGCTGTGTATAAATCGATTTTAAACTGTGAGAATATGTTTGTTAAGTCTAAAAGGTTCTCATTCATACTTCATTACCCTGCGCGCAGCAGGGTATTGTCTTCCCCCTGGTGTGTGTGTGTGTGTGTGTGTGTGTGATCCCATGGCTTACTTTGCAGCACAAATACATGATGCTCAACTGCTCACACAAATGCTCTACCTACACTCACAGCCCTCTGTTTCTAGGGGATGGGGAGATGACAGCGAGTGGATGGCGAAATTGGAAGGGTATTAAGAGGGATGTTTTTTTGGTAAACTTGGTTTAAAGGGGATGGCTTCCCCCCTTTTCCCTTACACATCACCGACCGACAAACCACAGCCAGCAGGCAGTGAGCTCAGCTAAGCATAAAAAGAAATATTGGAAAACAGCTACCATAGCCATGTCCAAAATATTTTTTTGTTTCTAGTCTTTGAAACTTACACTTCTCCCGAGACTGGCACTTTCAAAAATCACACCAACATATTGTTGTTAAAATGCTACTATCATCACTTCTAGGAACTATAAACAACCTTGGATTCTTGCACATGCTCATAACCCAAATATGTGTCTGATTAAGAATTGTCTTTTTAAAAAAGCACCTTCTTAAGATCTTCTCCACCACAGTGTCGTCCTCATCATAACGTGACACGTTGAACATGCTGTGGATGCTCTGTGGAAGAACGTGCCCTTGTTGTGCCAAAATCACCAAGTTGTACATTCCCTGTGAGTCGATGTAAAAATAAAACAAGAACAGCAGGCTGATGAGTAATTCGCTGAGAAGGTCTGATAAATAATAACACTGTATAATTCTGTTTGTGGTTTTTATTGCCGTTTGCCTGAGCCCGTCGAACTTTAATTAAGTTTATCATAGGGTGATGAGATTACAGCCTCAGTAAATCTGTCACCTGAGGGCTGCCCGCGAGAGCTGCTCTGCTGTACATCGATAGGGCCTGACCAACCAAGGATAATGAGTCTTCTCGGGTGCTGGAGGAATGGTAATAGTAGTCTCCCATTTTCAGCAGAGCTATAACAGAAGATAAATACTTGCTGTTCAACAGATTGACAGAGAGAAGGAGAGGTTAAAGCCAAATGAAATGAGAGGAACTCACCAGACGTTTGGGAATCATAGTTTAATATAGAGAAGTTATGATATCTCCACTGACAATCATAACTGAGATCCAGTTCCTGTGTTTGGGAGAATGATTGCAGTGGGAGAGAGAGCACAGCAATGATGACGGTTATGTTATCAACCGCTAATAATTTCCCTCCAGATTTGGTTTTCTTCTATTGGTATACGACTGGAGTAAAAGTACCTCAGACCTTCAGTTATATGACATTGATTTTAGAATTGTGCAGAGGAGGTGGACACAAAGGGTTAAGAGCGGAGAAACAGCTAATACCTCACACAGGTGTGCAGCGTTGCTCTGGGCCAAACCCAGACCAGTTTCAGCTGCCAAGACATACTTCACAAATGCTTCCTGCCTGTTGGCAACACAATAAAACACACGTGAAGAAGCCGAGACAAATAATAAAGACCAGAGAACATGATTAAATGAAGACAAGTGAAAAGTAATTGAAATTAATGTCCCGACCTGGAGCCCTGGAGGTAGGCCTGCAGAGCCTCTCTGATCATAAATCCAAGGTGTCCGTTCTTTTCGCAGACCTTTTTTAGCATTCTGCATGGAGGGTGAGGGATGTCTGATGAATTATGGAATATAATTTACACCCCAAAAGGGGAAAATATATGATCTAAAAATAGCCTCTGATTCCTTGAGGTCACTCTAAAAAAAGCCCCTACAGCTGTGACAGGAGCCGCTTTAAATTCATAAGATACCAGAGGAACATTGGTAAGCAGAATTCCTCTCTGCAAGACAATAATGCAGTGACAGTAGCTCGTATTTTTAGATATGCAAATACTGGGTTCTGACCTTGAATTAGCCACTGTCATTGAAACGAGATGCCATTGAGCTGCAGGCTACGGTGAAACAGCCCATAACAAAGCTTTCTACACCAAGCTAATGAAAGCCTCTTACATCACAGCCCTCTCTGCATCCTGAGACACTCCTCCCAGGCTTCCTGTCGAAAGATACCAAGCTGCCTCCACAGATGCAGCAATATGACCCAAGCGAGACGCATTCAGAAAGTGCTGGAAAGCAGCCGTCTGTGGATCATGTAGAAAATATATCAGCTCATCAATCATACTATCTCAGCCATGAACCAACATTTTGACAGTGTCAGACTCAAACCTCATTCCTCCATGGGCTGCGTGGGTTTTCCCCACTGAGATGATAAGCTCCCAGGTTGAACATGCCATCAGCACTCCCATTTAGCGCAGCTTGCTCAAAGTATTTCGCTGCGCTTTCGTGGTCGTCCAGTACAGTCCCATGGTACCAGCCCAAACTATTCAAGGCATCATTTGAGCCCTGAAGTAAGGAAGCAGACAGTGGTTTTCACGGTGAGGGCTCATGATGTAAACACATGGATTGATTACTACACATACGTACCATCGCTGCAGCTTTCTTCAGCAGCTGAAAAGCTCGGGTGTGGTTTTTTTTCACTCCCTGGCCCTGAAGGAATCAACATCAATCAGTGAATCAATAACTGTCAAAGCACACACACACACACACACACACATATATATACGCACAATAAAAAACAAGCATAAAATACCCAGTGTTCCATCATAAAACAGGTTGAGTCTTTATAATGTTATAGCACCTTCATCAGTAGAATGGAGTAGTCGTGCATCGCCGAGGGATCCTTCATTTGCATAGAACTTCTGTGCAACCACTTCGCTGCACTCACTATGTCTTTTGAGACTCTGTTCTGTCCCCAGTATAGCATTGTTCCCAGGTGTCTCTAAAGATAGTACTTTTTGTTAGTCTTAAAACTGCCTCTGTGACTGATCACAAGGGAGAAATAAGAGTCGGATTTAACTCTTTCTAAGGGTTTTATGCATCTTCTTAAGATGGACGGTTCATCTTTACAAAAGATCCACAAAAAATATCACACATACCTGACATTCTGCGTCTCCCCTCTCTGCCTGGTATTTCAGAAACTGAAAGTCATCACTCGTCTCATGTGTCAGGCTGTTTAAATCCTCTTGGTTGCTGAGATAGATGTGTTCAGGGATGTATTGCTTTAGAAGAAACAAACAGACTCTGTAAGGCTCCCTGCTGTAAAATGACAAGATCACATTTAGCTCTCATGAAAACAAATGTTATATAAATAAATAAATGTTCAGACAATGGGTCCCACTGTTTAGCTTCACAATGTTATTGGACAGGAAATAAATATACATAGGTCTGGCTACCAGGCCATAAACATACAACGTGCACACTCTCCTCAAAGTGCATCACCTTGTTTTATTGTACTATATATATATGTATTAAGTAATCAAAAATGTTTTTTGTGGTTAGCAGAATTTCTAAAAACATGTCAAATGTTGTTATTGTGGAATACATGCATTGTATGCCTTTATTGTAATTTTCCAACATTGGGTGAGGCTGATAGTCCCAAGGAAAAAATGTTTATGGAAATGTAATGTCTTTGATAAGTCACACATTCTTAATGGGTTCTCTCTTTTTTTAATTTTGACTTAGACCAAATTTGAATAATTCTCAGTCTGGTTGCAGTGTTTAACATTTTATCTGCATCCTTAAGGTAAAAAATATTGTAAAATATTTTTTTTCTGTTTGTTTGCCAACATATCTGCTTGTTGTACGAGGCGGAAACTGGTAGTAGATGTTCTGGGATGGTTGTTTATATTTGGGCAACTGATATCTATCTAAGTATGCAGCTTGATTGTATTTAAGGGGACTGTGGGGCCTTAGCAGAGTTATGTGCTCTACTGAGAGCCATTCTATTTTTTTCTAAAACACTGCTATTAGCCAAATGATTGTCATCTATTTAAAGCTTATGACTCAACTAATCTGATCCATCAGTGTGGGTGTGGTATAGTAACACATGACTGACAAGGCTGGCGACATAAATAACACCTTTCAAATGTAGTCAAATCCTGTTTGAATGAGGTATGGCATTGTTTCAACTGAGTCTCGGCCAGTGCAAACCAGTCTGAAGAGCTCAGATAAACAGAAGAGACTTTGACAGAACATTTAGTAGGTCATGTAGGATTCTGATAGCTTATAGTGACAAGCTGATCAAATAGATTTTTCAAGGCTTCACTTGAGATTGGAGATAATTTGTTGTACTGTACCACCCTGGTCCTCAGAGAGTTGCCAGGTTGATCCAAGTGTCACAGCTGGAAGTTCAACTGATAAACTTGGCCATAGCTGACTTCTCGGTGCATTGCCGGTCGTCGATTCAAAGTCTTTCTGTCGTTAATCACAACCCTCTATTCTTTAGATGAAGCTTATATAATAATATTCCAAGAATAAACATGAAGTCAGTCTGAAGTAGACCTTTCTCATAATGGGCCTCTTTGGAGTGCTCTCCCTCTTTTCATCAGAGCGACTACCTCATTCACATTTTTGAATTAAGATTTAAGACCTACTTATTCTCCCTGTACAACTCTGATATAACTGGCTGGATTAACAAACACACTATGCAATCTTATTTTGGAGATGGAGCATTTATGTATCACTGTGTTTATATTCTTGCACATGTATACTCTATGTGTATTTGCATGTTTGTATGAATGCATTTGTATATACTGTATATACAGTACATACATACACTTTGACCTAGTGGTGACATGTTTAGTCCTTTTTAGTCCCTACTCCAGAACCAAAATGTCACCAGCATTGCAATAATTCCAGTAATATAAACACACCTCATCTTCATATATGTACGCCATGTCAATGTTGCTCTGTGCACCAGCATTGGAGTAATAGCTATAAGCCATGTCCAAGTCTTTGGGAAAGCCATCAATGCCTTGTGTGTGTTTGTACCCTGCATGCATCAGGGCAAAGCGGCCATCACCTGATGCACCAATCAAACTATAGACATGACCCTGAAACACAAAGGGGTCAATATCATCAGCCATCATCACAGAAGAAATGTTTATTTAGAGACTTTAGCTGTAAATGAACAATGAAGAAATAGGGACAACTCTCACTACCTGGATTTGATCAACTGAATGTCCCAGGCCAGAGAGGAGGATGGAGGCCAACAAGAGTGATGCTTCGTGATTTCCAAAGCAGGAGGACACTTGGAGCAGAGACATGGGTTCCGATGTGATTTTGATCTGCGTCTGATCCGCAGTGAACATTGCAGCCACTGCCTCTTTAAACAAAGTCGTCCTGAGGTGCTTCATTTCCAAAGATCCTACAGAAAAGAATAGTTGGGTGAGTTTTATGATACATCCTTTATATGATGATACAGAGTGCAAACAATTCAAAATACCTGTTCTGACTTGCTCCTCTTTTGTTTGCAAGAGATGGAAAAGCGAGCTATATTTAAGTGGTGTTTCCCAGGTCCATGGTTGTGAGCAGGTTTTTTTACCAGACTGACCCCACAGTCTTATTAAGTGAGGGGTGCAGACAGCTGAAATAAAAACCAAAGAGAAATCTGTCAACAGTGGTGTTCCCATATGCAGTAGGGGCGCAGTTGTAGTTTTGACACTCTTGATATCAGATCTGTGAAAGGTCGCTCTCTGTAGAACAGTTATTAAAGTGCTTTAAAGGACTTGTCAAAATAATATTTCACCTTTGCTGTTTGTTGACAACATGTGACTCTGTGTTACTTCTTTTAGAAAAGCTTTTGTGAATGCTTTGATTTCCTGACACTTGTGATGAGTCTTATCCAGCTCCTGCAATGTCTTGAGGTGAAGTTGGTTTTTTATCTGTGATATGAATAACGTTGCATTTCACACACTGGGGTTACGATCAATAAAACGAGAAAACAATGATAACTGACTGGTGATGAGAGAGCGGGCACTTTACCTCTTCAGTTCCAAAACGATAGTATTTGATTGGTCCAAAATACCCGTGGATGCCTGGCATGTATTTGCTTCCTCCAATCACAAAGTATCCATCAGTGTCATCATAATAGATACTGTCCGGAAAACTACAAGATAGTTAATACCACTTAAACCAAACTGTCATGATCACTGTGCAGGTCATTCCTGTTCTATCACAGCAACTGACCTAATGGCTGCTTTGCAAGGTTGTGTTTTGCTTATTTCACAGAAAAAATGACATAAAGCATTTGAATAGGAATTAAGAAAACGTCTTACTCATATACATATCTGTGGGTTTGACCATCCCACGATACATACAGCAGCACCTGAAAGCCAGACATAATAAAGCATGAGTTCTCAGCAATGTGCGAAAAAAAAAAAAAAAAGCCTACTCATCTGTGAAAGACTTCAAATTTGCAGCAGACACTGAAATCGCCTGGAGTTTCCCAGCTGGATAGGAACCATCGTTCAGGATCTTACAGCTGTTCCAAAAAGGAATCAAACACTGCAAAGCCATGGCACCGAACGAGACTCAGAAGAGAATGGGTGACTATAACATGTTGCCCCGAGCCATTTCAATTTCTGTGCTTTAACCCACCGCCCCGGGGATGCAATGGGGTCCCGTACCTTTGAGTTCTGTATGGAACAGTCTAATCGAATCCATTTCCGCAGGGGCAACGCTACACTGACTTGGAAAGCTTCTTCTTCTCCTGTTGTCAAACGTGCCTGAATTATGACGTCCCCTACACAGGAGACATGACAGTCATATATTTCACCACATGAGATCCAGAGCTCTTTATTAATACATAACACAGTCTGTTCCAGAGCCTCACAAAACACACATCATCGCTTACAATCATCCCGTGATACCTCCGTCTAATCCCCTGGACTGGTATCAGGTGTACACACAAGCTGCCGTGACCCACCTGTGTCTGTAAGCAGCATCAGAACAGAGTCGTATGAATTTCTCCCATCGACATGATGGATGATCCCACAGAGGCGCTTGTGACACCATTTCAGTAGGTAGATCCACACAGATAAGGTGACGCTGAAAACCAAGCAGGAAAATATGACAAATCATTTCTTTGGCCGCTGAAGCGACCAGATTGAATCTAAAATGCTGCGCTGTCTAAAAATGACTGACCTTGCTCTTTGTCGTGGACCATAAATAAAAAGCTTACATGCTCTGGTGAAGAGGCGTCATGATGCTTATAAAGTCATTTAAATTGACAGCGAAAGTGAAGTCAAACCAAAAGTGGAGTGTGTTCTAACAGCTGCCAGCACGGAAAGGAAACAATCACTGACCTGTGGCCTGTCAATCTGCTGATATCAACACAAACCACTGACTGAGTATATTCTAACATGTAACGTCTGAAAGATCTGCTATTTTCAAGTGTTTCATACATTCACACAATCTTCAACGATAATAAACTAAAAGAGACATCAGTTTGAGGTCCAACCTGGGCTGTATCACCGCATGAAGACGGCCTCTCTCCAGGGCATCGTCGCTGAAAGGCTGGAACCTGCGGACCATTCCAAAGTGCTCACCAGTGCTTGCCAGAGGGAACTTAAGCACGTCAATGATGTCTACGAACCAGCAGAAAAGCAAGATTGAATACCAGTATTTTCATGTTACCTTTAAAAGATGTGGTTATAAAGACAAGAAAGTCATGTGATTAAGGGTCTGACCTGACTCATGTGGACACAGACTGGTCCTGTCTCTGGTCATTTGCCACATCAGTCGAGCAAACCATGACAAAGACTCTGTGGGAGGCTTAGCTGGACGCTCTGAGAGTGGCGTTATCTCCAGCACTTTGTAAATACTTGACATTGAGTCATTGTGTGTGCGGGGTTCACTGCCATCTTTCAGATGAGCAAGCCAAGCACGAACAGTCGCATTATCAACCTCCAAAACATTCCTGTTGAAAAAGTCGTTCTGATACAAAATAGATGGAGGCAGTCTGAGCAGCACCTGGTGGATCCTGTAGACTCCGACTCTGCGGCTGATCCATTTCCTGCTGAAGACCACTAAATCTGTCTTCCTTAATGTGGAAACCACCACCTCCACCGCCAGCTGACATGGCCTGAGGCATTGATACCTCACACGGACGACTGAGCCATCTACCACTTTGTCAGGGGCTGACTTAAACTCTATGAAATTGCCAGGCAGGCTCTCACCGCTCTCCGATGAAATGGCTTGTAACACACACTCTCCCTGGGTGAAGTAGAAGATACATAAATAAAATTGGGGCAGTCAGAGAGGAAACATGGATATGTTTGACAGAGTGTATTTTTAATTCAGCCTTCACCTGCTTTGCATGAACTTTTTGGTCATCCTGGAATTTAAGAATGAGGTATGGAAACATGCATTCAATGGTCTTAAAGAAGTATTTCATTAAGATATCCCCAAAGATCCAAAAATAATAGGCCTAAAATATATTTGTTACGAATCCTCCTAAGGGATAAGTATCTTACAATTAAGGTGGTTGAAACCATGGGCTCCAGCCAACATTTTAATCTAAAATGTTTAAGAACTGTATGGGATGGATCAAATAACATGTTAAAGGTCCAGTGTGTAAGATTTAGGTGAAAGGGAACTATTGTCAGAAATCTAAAGTAGAATAATCCTCATGATGTTTTCACTAGTTCATTTCATCTAAATTGTATGAATTGTAGTTTTCTTTACCCCAGAAAATACTCTTTATATTCAAATACATTAGTCCAGACTGGACAAACTAAACACCTTTTGAGTTTTTATGACAATTAAAGGCTGTCACAGTTTCTTTTTCATGTTTGGAAGGAGAGGGTGAGGTGGGTATTCAGCTGCAACATATGTTTGTCAACCGATTTTACTCTGTCTGAGTATATTTGGCTTGTAGAGTTATATGCAAATAGCTGCCTGCTAAATGCCACTATGAGAGCTAGAGGTGTGAATCAAAACAATAAGGCTGCCAGCGTCCGGGCAGCTTTATGAACTGAAACTTGCTTTAGAGCTCAGTGAAGCTGAGGGGAGCTGTTAATTTACAGTGTATGTGTGTATTCCCTGTAGGTTCATCACTAAGAACAAACACATTCTTTACATCTCATTGTTTTCATATTGTTACAAAATATGAAATGTATTTTGTTACAAGGAGACATATAAACATATAAATGACCAAGATTCATATTCAACAAGTGATATAGTAAAGTATAATATTTAATGTAATGAGTCTCTTACCTTTGTAATAGCAGAAGTGAATACATATCCAAACAGGATGGCATGCAACATATTCATGTTGATTCTTTTGCCCTAAAATATGATAATGCATAAAAGTAAATATGTAATTCCTGTGTTATTTTGATAAATGTTCTGTGTGAAATAAAATTGCTTCTCTCACTAGTAGACCACATATAATGTTCCACCTAGTTTACATACTGGCACAGCACACCGCATACACCCTGTGTGAAGTAAGATTACAGGATATTCTGGTGTTGCAGGTTCAGCTGTGTGCATGAGTTTAAAGGGCTAGCTACATCACAGCACCTAACAGGCTGGAGCCAGCGTACCTCTGCTGTTTGACAAAAATGCTGTTTGATTTATTTGATTTCTCATTCTATTAGGGAACTTTTGGTAGTGATGCATCAAAGCTCAGAGTCTAACTTAATTTGATGTGCTCGACCCAAGGCTTTGCCATCACCCCATGTCCTCTTTTGCCTACGCCCACGCAAGACTTTGAAGAAATCTGATCTAAGAAACAACCTGATATAACAGCCAAAAATTAATTACCCGTGGGCTACTGACAGTTTACACTTCAAAGTCTGCTGAATGAGGCATTGGTAACTGTTGCTGATGGGCTGTTTCAGATGACCATATATAGGTGAGAGCAGTCTTGTTGTCTATATAAAGGGTGACTCAGACATTAGTTACAACTCCAGATGTTATTAAAACTTTTGTCAGACAACTATGAATATTTCTGAATTAACTTGATTCGAAAGATTTTTTGGGGAGGGAATAAAGTCGTTATTTTCAATGGCTTTACAGGATATATGTGATTTCCAGGACATTTTTCTGGATAGAGTACCCACTCAATGTTCTTTGCTGCCTTTTGGAAAGAAGAATGGATTCAACTATCTGAGAGGTCTGCCCTTCAGCAATAGCACAAGTCTGTTTAATTTTTACATACCAGTTGCAGAGTACCTCGATAAAAGTCCAATACAGTTTGGGCAAATCGACCCCATCCAGAGCTCTAGCACTCCCTTATCTCAAGACTGCAACCTGCCATCCCTCTCTTTGCCAGTAAATTCTCTTCCTTCGTCCACTCAGTCTGTTCCTTTGCCTTTTCCCATTTCTCATGGAACCACCACCCTAGCTTTCATATTTCAGGGCGGCGTGTTGGCAGCAGCAGACACTCGCTCCAGTTGCTCTGGGAAAGTGGAGGGCCCAGCCTCCCAGAAGATCCTACCCATTCACAGTCACATGGTGAGCACCACCTCGGGAACCTCAGCCGACTGCACCCTTTGGAAACGGATTCTGTCTCGAGAACTGCGGCTTTACCATCTCCGCCACGGCCGACAGTTGTCCACAAGTGGAGCTGCCAAACTGTTGTCACACATGCTTCACCCATTTAAGGGAACTGAGCTTTGTGTGGCTGCCATAATGTGTGGGTGGGATGGAGGAGAGGTACATGGACACCATGACAATGGAGGTACAAACACTGATCCTGGTGGTTGCACAGAAACAAAGAAAAAAGAGAAATCTGTCGACCCCAGTCTTGAAAAGACTCAGAGCTCTTTTTCATCTGCTGGTAGTCAACAGCACTTAGCTAGAGAGAAAATAAATGTCTCTGGACCCCGTGTGTTTTATGTGTGCAGTGACGGCACTCGCCTGCAGGGAAGTCTCTTCTCTGTAGGCTCGGGATCTCCTTACGCCTATTCAGTTTTGGACCAAGGAGTTAAATGGGAATTGACACTGGATGAGGCCACATCAATCGCCAGAGAGGCTGTGTACAGAGCCACACACAGGGATGCATACTCAGGAAACAATGTAGATATCTATCACCTCTCCTCAAAGGGATGGATTCGAAGGAACAGAGAGGATTTGAAAGAGGAATATTACAGAGAAAAGGAAAGACAAGAGCGAGGGATGAGACAGATCGTGACTTTGTCTGAGGAAAACATGAAACAAACAAATATGGCATGAGAAAAGAAAGGCGAACGTGTAGGAGTGTTTTGGAGAAATGACGGCAGCTCTGCAGCAGATACTAAATTAGTGAACAGGACAGGCAGTTGCATATTTTTCAAATTGTTTGGGCATGCATATTGTTCCCTCTAATAAACAGCTGATGTTTTCTCTGTGCTGGTAATGTAGGATTTTAACTGTTTGTAATTCCCTGATGGTGCAACAAGCTAAAAAATAATATCAGAGCAGGGACGTCCCTCTCTGTCTTCAAGAACCTCATCTTTTCTGAGAGTGCCTCGTCTCCTAACACCTCTAACATACCTAACTAACACTTAGCTTGCACTTGATCTCCAATCCTTTGTCTTACTGAAAAGATTTTGTGCTTATTTCAACATCTATAATATAGCTTTAGATAATTGCCTCTATAAAAATAGTAAATGTAGATGTCTGGCACACATTATGATTCATTCCAAGGATGTAAGGGAATCACTTACTTGTGCTTGTTTTTGTGTTTCAGAGACACAGAAAAAAGGGTCTTGATTCGTATAAAAACTCTACATATCTGGGGGCAGATGTTCGTAATGTATTGCTGCAGGGAACATATTTAGCTGTGGCAATAACCAGTAAGGAGTTGAAAAGTGATTTGTGTCTGCTGTCAGAATTCTTCTGAAGTTTCTTTGACACGTCAGTAAATTAATGAACAGATGAAAGTCTGCTGATCTTGCTTGTTCATTTGAGCAGTGTGGTAGTAAATTAAGCATACTACTAATCATTCAAGTGACTATGACAGTCCAAAAGGATATTAGTGCAAAAGGTAAAGAGCTGTTCGCCCTTTACGCTGATCAGTCCTGAATCTTTATTCTTGGATGAAGGATCTACTACAAACCAAACAAAAACCCAAATAAACCTAAGCTTGGGTATAGTTTGGGTTTTTTACAAAACCAACCAAAATGAGACACTGTAATCTGCATTGCGATTCGGTCCGGCAGAAACTGGTGCCCCCTTGGCACCACATTTCAGTGCCCAACCGTGATCAAACCACAACATGTCTATCTTCACAGAATCCCCAGTAGTGCATACTGTGCATACACACAAATGATAGTAAAGCAGACCTCCACCACCATCCCAGGGACATCATGCGCACACGTAGGTGTTCTAGTCTGTAATTAAACCAAATGTTATTGGCATGGGGTGTTGTCAGGGCGTTTCTTGGAAGTGGTTCTCCTACATATCTTCTAAAATCCTGCAGAGTCGATTAAAGAATACAATGGGCTTCTCACAAAATTGTTGTTGCTGTGGACTGATGTAGTCAGGCAACTTCTCATCTCAGACAATGGCCTGCTTTGCCTATCCTGCAGAAGCACCTCTGGTTAAACACAGGCAGTGTAATCCGGCATATGGGTGTGGTTTTATAGCATTTGAAAATGTTGGAGTGGTGCTTAATGTTGTGATGTTACATGCGGATATGAGGAACTTATTTTACTAATATTATAGTGAGAGTGCTTAATGGCTAATGTGTGAGTGCAGTGTGCATTGAGCATATCCCTGTGTTATTATATGTAAGATATTAACATCCATAAGATAAATTGGAGGCAGGGTTGCATGACGATGCACGA